AAAGCCAGTCTTCCTGTAGAATGTTGTTGGACTCCTCACCGCAAAAGGACTAGGATCTGTTTAACTCAGCACGTCATGTGAGCTCAGGTAGCTGCTGGGTAGGCTATGGCAAGCGCATTTCATTCACAGCGAAGCAGGGGAAGGACCCTCGTGACCACAAGTTGTGGATCTAAGATGCTGGTTCCAGCACACACGGGTCTGACAAGGCGCCCCGCTTGCGTGTCTGGATCAACTTCTGAAAAGTATCTCTTATGGCCGCCCAACCCATTCAAACGCTGGCCACGCACATGCGAATGGGCCGAGTAGCGTAGGAGCACAGTCGAGTGGGTCATAGTTTTCATGACACCGTTGCAAAAAAGTAACCCTGGCGTTGGCAGATTTGAGCGACATGTGGCGAAGTCACCGTGTTTGTCCACACGGCTGTCGCACCAAGGCAGGCTGCCCAGCTATTCCCAGCACAGACCAATCGTCCTTCAAAACATGATCATAATGCTTGTTGTAGATCAAGTCCACTGTGCGTGTTGAAGAACATCTTGAAATTGTGGCGCCTGCGGACAGAAGGGGTCGTTGTGGAGGCCTGCGTTTTTCACGAACTATATTTTGAGTGCTTTTCAGACATTAGGTTTCGAAAGTAAGCATCTATGGCCCCACCAATGCTTCTCTCGAAAACTCAGTAGAAAACGGGCGTTGTTGATTCCAGTACGTGTAGAAAGAGAGATGTTGGCCGAGGGGGAGAGAGGGCGAAGAAAAAGAAAAAGCAAATGAGAATTGTTAATGGAGTTGCATGGAGAGCGCCTTGTTCCACGTTGCCGCACGTTGGTTTCGTGCGTCGCGGATGAACTAGTGAGCACATTTAGCAACCAAAAACAGAATGCACAACGCGCCCCTCCCGGTGAACCTGCGTGGCAAATGTTCTCAACACAACTTTGAAGGCGCTGGCTGGGTGTGCGTTTGCCCCCCGGCACGGCCACGCGAATTTGTTGAAAGACGCGCGGCAACGCACTTCGCTGCCATGCGCATCCATTGCGTCGGTGATGTTGTCGAGGTCGACCGCCAGATCTTTTGCGCTCTCCCAGGCCTGAATCAAAAGCTGGTCTTCGTTCGAAACATTATGAGCTTCCACGGGGAGTGGGCATGGTTCTGCGACAAGCTACATCGCATGTACCAGAAAGCATATGCTACACGTCCCCACAGTGCTCGGAGAACGAGACAGACGGACAGGGCTAAACCGCAGAAGTGTCCAGGGCCAGAGCCCCGTCACAGACAACAGTGCTCCTACAGAGAACGCAAGCTGCGGCCGCCAGCCGGTAGACTGAGCAAGGCAGTTCGGCAGGTCAGCAAACCTAGCTATCAGCGTGCGCGGCACGAAGGATGTCAGCGCGAAAAGAGACTTACTAGAGGCGGCATCGTGGTAGGGAACGCCATGCTACCCCTGTCTTGGAAGGGGGGCCTGATCCTGGATCCGCGGCACCCCGGCACCCCGCTCACAAAGCTGTTCGGGTTTTTCGTTGAGTAGGCGCGGGATGAAGCCATACCACACAGCTCAAGTAGTGGTGTACGCCAGCTGGGGCCAAGCCTTGCATCATGAACATGGAGAGTCCTTGTGACGGATGGAAGCGTCCGCCATAATCCAGAGGCCCCAAAACCCGTTGAGAAGGGACCTTAGACGGTTTTTGCGGGCAATGGCCCCACACCTCAGCATCAGCAGAAAGACACTGCCAAATCAGCCCGTTTGGATTGAACGCAGCGAGCTGCTCTTGCCAAATGCTCACGCCTCATTGACAAGGTCGGGACGCTACATCTCGCAAATTCTCGGGCCGCAAATTCTCGGGCCGGGCGCCTGTGAAGGAGAGGCCGCATCCCGTACACCTCGACGTGTGCTTCGGTTCTGTTTCGGGGTATGATTCGGGGGCAAGGTTTTTGCCCTGTAGAAGCAGTAGTCGTAGTAGCAGTAGTAAGTAGTAATAGTGGTAGTAGTAGTAGTAGTAGTGGTGGTGGTGGTGGTGGTGGTGGTGGTAGCAGCAGCAGTAGCAGTAGCAGTAGCAGTAGCAGTACTAGTAGTAGTAGTAGTAGTAGTAGTAGTAGTAGTAGTAGCAGTAGTAGTGGTAGTGGTAGTGGGAGTGGTAGTAGCAGTAGTAGTAGCAGTAGCAGAAGGAGTAATAGTAGTAGTAATGGTGGTGGTGTAGCGGTACTAGTAGTAGTAGTAGTAGTAGTAGTAGGAGTAGTAGTAGTAGTAGTAGTAGTAGTAGTAGCACGAGGCAGTATCGTCATAGCGGGAGTAGTAGTGGTAGAAGTAAAGGTAGCAATGGAAATAGAATGAGAAGTAGTAGTAGTTGTAGTCGTAGCATTGAAGGGGGTATGATTCGGGGTACGGATCAGAGGTATGATTCGCGGTGAGGTTCGAGGGTGTGATTCGCACAGGTTGAACTGTGTCGCAGTCTGCTGAGACACTGGAAGCACACAACGATGCGCGGACTCCTAGGAATATGGCTACGCAGGGGCCACGTAGAGTAGTAGTAGTAGTAGTATAGTAGTAGTAGTAGTAGTAGTAGTAGTAGTAGTAGTAGTAGTAGTAGTAGCAGTAGCAGTAGCAGTAGCAGTAGCAGTAGCAGTAGCAGTAGCAGTAGCAGAGTAGTAGTAGTAGTAGTAGTAGCAGTAGTAGTAGAAGTAGTGTAGTGTAGTAGTGGCAGAAGTAGTGTGATGATGGAACGGCCGTGAAGGCGGGCATGCGGGCCAGTATACGCCTTGGAGGCTACGCGGAGGCTACGTGCTGGCTAAGCCGAGGCTACGCGGAATGCGCGAAAACTATGGCCTGGCCAAGGCAAATCAAATTCACCCTCTTTCTTTGAGACACGCAAGCTTTCATTCAAGCTAAGCCATTTGCTCAGAACAAAGGATCTAGGCAGAGGCTACGCGGAGGATTGTCGACAGCTCCTTTTGCTAGTGGCTACACGGAGGCTACGCGAAGCTACGCGGTCCAGGAGTAGGCCACGCGGCCACCACGCCAGCTCCACTCTCCTTTTTGCTCCTGCATAAAAAAGAACGCTGCTGAGATTTCCATTGTCCTTAGGACTGGTCGCCTCCCGCGGCTTTCGGGTGATTCAACCTGAAAAATATGCAAAAGATGTTTTTCGTTCAGTTGGGGGGTGGAATTTGGAAGATTTTGGCTTCTAGAGCTAACTTTCGGGTGCAACTTGAAAAATGTGCAAAAGTGTTTTTTCTGCTAGCTTTGGGGTGACTCAACTTGAAAAATGTGCAAAAGCGTTTTTTTTCTTTCAGTTGGGGTGTGGAATTTGAAACATTTTGAGTCGCTTTCAAGGCGAATGGTAGACAGACGCGGCCCTCAGCAAGCATTGTGCGAGAGATCAGTGCAAGGAATGCTGCGCCTGACCTATTTGGAAAGCGCTGTTTTGCTTTTGCAAGAGAACGACATTGCACTTGTCAGTTGTCAATGAACCAAAATACATAATTGTGTTTTTCATCCGAAGAAACTTGTTTACAAAAGCGCAAAGCTATAGAAGAATTCATCATGCTCCAGAAGAAACTTGTTTGCAACACGCAAGGCTATAGAAGAACTCATCATGCGATCCCAACCTCTTGTCTTTTTTTGGCAGCAATGACAACGACAGCGAGCCATTTTTCCGTGTCTTTTGGGCTGAGTCTGCGCTGTTGCAGCTGCGGAGCAAAAAGTGCGGGGCAGCCCGCTGCTGGTCAGGACAGCTTACGAATTACTTCCTCGGGCTCTTGTTTTTGGAGTAGGCTCAGGCTCTGGGAGGGCCTCGTCCTTCTTGCCCGCGGCCTTGGCCTTGGCGGTGTTTTTGGCCTTGGCCTTAGGGGCTTGACTGGCCTTTGGTTTGGTCTTTGACTCAGGCCCAGACCCAGACCTTGGCAGCGCAGACTCTTCTTCAGGTGGTGATCTGCGGGGCTGCCGCCCACTGCTCCATTGCTTGGCTCCTTGTCCTTGGCCGGCTGTGTGAGCGTCGGGAGCGTCGGCTGCCTTTGTTGCAGTCTCTGGCTTGAGTCATTGATACGGCTTTTCACTCATGTCTCAGTCTCCGCTTGGGCTGGGACTGGGATGGCTGGGACAGCCTCCTTCAGTGGCGGCTTTCCGCTGCAGCTGCGGGAGCGTTTGCTTGACTGTGGCTTGCGCCAAGGCGGCCGTCAGTGGCTTGAGCTAGCGCTGCGTTGGCGTTGGCCTCGGCCCCGGCTGGCTTTGCGACGGCCTCCTCCTCCGCCCCCGCTGCGTTGACGTTGGCCGCGGCTGCGGCTGCGGCCCGGCCGCCTGCCTTTCCTTTTCTTTGGCCATGGACAGCTCAATCGCTTGAGCTAGCGCCTTCTCCTCTTCCTCCTTCTTTTGCACGGCAGCAGTGGCCACGGCGGCTTTTGCCCCTGCAACAGGTAGCCTTGAGCCTGGGCCGCTGTGTGCCCACCCAAGGTGGTGGGCGGCTGGGCCGCTCGTTGCTGCTTTTGCATTCAGCTTTTGCTCCTGCAGGGTCACCGCTGCATCAATCAGACTCACAGCGCTGCTCAAGCACTCTGCTCCTGAGGCGCCAGGAAGCTCAGGAACCAATTCTTGCACGCCGCGAAGACGGGCAGGAGACTTGCCTGCAGGACATCTTGGCTGTGGGCTTGGTGGCTCACCAAACAGCATGGGGGCAAGTAGAGCATGTCACCAGGCCCCACCGTCCTGTGGCGTCTCGCAAAAGCTTGTCGCTGGGGGCGGCCAACAGCCGCTGCTCCGCTTCCACATGCCAGCAAGCTTCCACACCGCTACCATCATAGCGCCCTTCACGATTAGCCGCAAGCAGGGCATCAGGTTCAGCTCACATCGCCCGATGCTTATATCCCGACAGAAGTGACTCGCAGCACTGGGTCAAGGACAGCAAGGTCCGCTTCCGCGGGGGCCAGGCTGCTGGCTGGTGCGCCGGCAGCTGGGAAAACCGATCAAGCTGCGCGCCGCGCAAGGCCCTGGCAGCTTCCTTGCGCCAAGCAAATCACTCATCGCAGTCTTGAAGGACGACTGCAAGGTCAGCAGGTGCTTCTTCACTGCGGTGTTTTGCTCGTTCTGGGCCTTGGTGACCCAAGCTCGCTCCGCCTTTCGGCGCTTGGTTTCGGTATCAACCACTTTACTTTCGCCGGCTGCTTGCCATGCTTGGTGGCGCCGCCCGCAGCGGAGCCGTCGCTGTGGCCCTCGCCCTCCGAGCTGGGGCTGCCGGTGTCACCACCAGCTTTTGCTTGCTTGGCCTTCTTAAGTCGCTGCTTCTGCTTGGACTCTGCCGCCATCTTGCGCAAGTCACGGGCTGCCAGGTCTTCCAAGCCCGCGCCGCTCCAGGTGTGGGAGCCAAACTTTCTGCCTGCGCAGCGGCTTCCCCCGCTTCTTCATCACAGTTGGCGGGGTCCTTCTGAAGGACCATCTGAACCCGCTGGTTCATGGTCTCTTCGGATGCGGTCCGGATAACCTTTCGGTCCGCTGCAACTCCTTCTGACGGGCCAGCTCCTCGACGGCAGTGATTGTGTCGCGTGCTGCCCAGTCTGCTTTGAAACCTGAAGCCTGCGGCTTTCTTCCCAGCCGGCGTGGCCCCACTCTTCCTCCTCCTCCTCCTCTTCCCAGGCGCGCTGCAAGGCTTGTCCCAGGCGCCCTCGCTCCAGGCATGGCTGCGGGGCTGCCCGCTCCAGTCGTCGCCGTCGCCCTCTTCTCCCACGTCCATCGCCACAGCATTGCGCCGCGGCGGCTTGTGCAGCCGTCCCAGCCAAGCCAGAAATGGCTGCAGGCGACGATGTCAATTTCATGATTCAAAAAACAAACAAAACAAAATTCATGGAAATGCGATGGAAATTCATGGAAATTTGCCGGATCCTAATGATGATTGCAAGTTGAAGGGGTACCAGCAACCAACTTTCAAGCGGTCTTGTCTTCCGGGAAGAATTTTCCAGAATCCAGAAAACCCAAAGTGCAATGCAAAAAACAAGTCAAGCACTCGAAACGAAACTGTCTTTTTCCAAAGGCGCTGGAGGCTCCAGGCAGCCTGGCAGCCTCAGTCGGAGCTTAAGGAGCTTGATGAGCTTGAGCTTGAATTGGAGTCGGAGCCGTCGGAGCCTGCGCCCAACTGGCCTGACTGGGGTGGTTCGGCAGGGCTGGACTCCGCTTTCCGCTTGCGCCCCGGCTCCGGCCCCGTCTTTGGTTTGGTCTTGCTCTTGGGGCGAGCTTTCTTGTGTGCCTTAGCCTTAGCCTTGGGCTTTGCTTTTGCTGCGTCTGCGGGGCGGCGGCCTGCGCCGCTTCTGCGTCGTCCAGCTCTTGGTCTGTCTTCACAGAAGAAGGCCCTGGAGCAGGGCAGCTTGCCAGCTTAGCGGTCAAAAGCTCTTGCGGCAAAACATCCGCTTCCTTGATCGACACAGCGGCGTGCGTCCGCTTCTTGGTGTGGGCTACAGCCAAGAGGCACCAGCCAAGTCCTTGGAAGTCTCATTTCTGCGCGGCATGGGAGAGCTTGTGGTAAGGACACTTGGTGGGCGTTTTGTTGCGTTAGTCCAAGGAAAGAGTCGGGGTGATGTTCTGGGAGGCGCAGGGCGGTAGACCTGCTGGCGCTGGCGCTGGTGGCAAGGTCAAGCGCTTTGTTGTTTAAGTGCTTTGGGAAAAACTCGCAGAGCTTGCCGCGGCGACTGCACCCGCTGCTTCTTCCGCTTACGCCTGAGCAGCATCAAGGGCCGGAAGCTTGGTGGATGCTGACACTATAAAGGGCGTGCTGCAAATGATCGGACATCGCAACGCGCTCAACATTCTCAGGGCTGAATCGATCACTCTGAGCACCGCCTTCCCGCAAAATGCTATTCCGGATGATCTTCTTCTTGCGCGCCTTGGCCTCTTGTCGCTTTGCCTGAAGTGCAGCAGGCTTCATGTACTGGCTCTCAGGGTCAAGGGCGTACAAACAACGCTGGCCCATTGAAGTTTCGCTCGCCGGGCGCATCTTGACCAGGACTTCTCAGTGCCTGCCAAGTGGAGTGGTTCCAGAAGCCAAGGCGTTTTGCCAGAGTGTCGGGGCGGGACACTTCCTCAAAGTGCTCCAAAAGCTTGGGGTACTTCTTTGACGGAGACGATCTTTCGCAAAGCAGAACGTCGCAAGGACGGCTTACGTAGGGGCCAGTGAGTTTGCCCGGGTTTGCAAGGTGGCCATGCACTATGGAACGCTCCCCTTCTTGCACTCTCTCAGCTGTGGGCATGAAGCGCAGGCCCCAAACGAAGTCACTCGAGGATGGGCACTGCTCCATGGGCGTGCCTTGTGAGCAGTTCCCCTCTTGTGGCAGACCCTGGTGCCAAGCGCTTCCAAGACAAGCGGTGGTGCAAAGCAGGGTCCTGAGAGGAGCTGTCAAACTGGTCGAGGCATTCTTGTGCTTTTTGCCTGGAACGCGGCCAGCTTCCATGCCAAGGTGCTGGGCAATTTTCGACTTCCGAAGAGTGAAGTCAGCCATTGTCTGAAAATCAACATCAACAAGATGGACCTTAGGACATCAAATCCCTCATTTCCCCCAGACGCGCCGCCCTTGTTTCCCTGCAAGCCCAGGCGAGCTGCAAATAGTTTTTTCACGTGCCTGCCCAGTCTTTTGTGTTTTTTTGCTGTCTGCATTCAAACTAAGCTTTTGAAAGCTTCCCACAGCAACTCGCAAGACGTGTGGGCAAGTGAGATTTCCTGATTACACCTACGCCCAGCCATATGGCTGTCAGAAAATGCGGAAAAATCAAGGCGGGCCAGGTCCATGAGTGCAAAAAAGTGGTTTGTCGCTCTGTGTTTTTACGGGCTTCCTTGCAACTTGGCCACCTAGCAAACCCTTTGCCTCTTTGGCTCAGGCACCGGGTCTGGCTCATACTCCTCCTCCGGTTGGAAAAAACGACCCACGTGTGTTCTGAGTCATGCTCGCTCTCATCCTCTCCAAGGCTGACGTCGAAGCCCCCGCGCACATGTTTGTTAAGAAGCGTTGCGTTTTCTTCAACTCACACTTCAATGCAAAACTCAACCAAACAGGAACCGGCAGGGAACCACGTCATCTCAAGCCTCAAGGCCACGCGCTTGTCCTCCCAAAGCTCAAACAGCATCAGTGGCGGGTCTGAGCTCTTGGGGCTAGTCGCGCTTGGCGTCCGTGCTTTGTGTGGGGGTGAGCTGGAACTTGGCCGCAAGCGTGGGGAGCTCCGCAGCATGCTCATCGGGCTGCGCGGCGGGCTCGATGGTGCCCGTGATGTCCCACTCAACACTTTGAATGTGTAAACGCCACGCACGAAGTCCTGGACGCGCGCGTGTTGTCTTGTATTCCACGGGCAGCTGCTGCTACTGGGTGTGGATCGCAGTAAGGACAATTCGTCGGATGGTGTCTCTCGGGAGTACTTGCAGGCCAACTCCACGCTGTGCGTGCGGTTTGACCCCTGTTGCTGTTGCTGCACCTGCCAGTCCGTTTGTCATCGCTCACGTCTGCGGGTTCCTTTCGAATGCAGTTGAATACCGTAAAAAGGTCCGCTGCTGATGAACCCAACGTGCAGTTCATTCACGTCTGGCAGGCTCGGTAATAAAACATCATTGACCATTTTTCCCGACGCAGGTGCGCCTGCTGTGGCCTCGTCTGTGCGGCGTGCGCTCGCTGACAGTGCATACCGGAAGATAGGACGGCGCCTGTAGGCCGAGTCGCCGCTGTCAGTAGCATCCCTGTCAGGTTCACGGTTCCGCTGTCTGCAGATGTTGTGTCGAGTCCTCCGCCTGTCTGTAACTGCCCTGCCAAAAACTTTCCTGCGACGGCCCCAAGACCTAGCGTCGTTCCCCATGAGTGTCACTCATTTTGCAGCTTGCTTGCGCCAGAGCTTTTCTTCGGCGCATGGTAAGGACCCCAGCGGGGTATCCTGACCATGTAGCTGCCCCAAAGGGTTGGCGAGAACCCTGTGTCGCGAGACACCGTGTCTTGAAGACACCAAGCGCACAGCTGGCAGCTGCATCAGCTCTACCAGCGCACACAGAAATATGAACACTGGTCCGCTGTTGATGAGAATCGAATATATTTAGAGTTCTCTTTACATCATGATTGGCGTGTTATCATTTTGAACAACCTTTGTTGTCATACTTATTCCTGGTACTCTTGTTACTATTAAGGCTTCTTTGCTATTTCAATCGCTTCTTTGCTATTTCAATCGCTTCTTTGCTATTTCAATCGCTCGGGTGCTGAACGATTTGGCGCCAATGTTCCGCTAGAACGTGGTGGCGCCGAAAGCCTGGGATCCGGAGGCCATGAGGCTGGGAGCGACTCCACAATACTCCCTGTCCATCTACCGTGTGAATTGGCAGGATTTTGTTCTGGCAGGCCCCTTCTTGAACACATCGGTGTTTCGCACAAAACAGGGTTCCCTAAAAGTGCGATTTCGCCAGCTGCGAGGCACAGCGCGACCAGTTGGAGCGTAGGATCTGATGTGCGGCCTCACCCACCCACCCCCTTTATTTGGCTATAAATGGGAGCCAACGGAGCCAGTGAGGTCGTGGGTGATTGATGTCATGAGTGTTGTACTCATTGGGTTGGTATCTCACGAAAACAGTTATGGCCATGCGCTTTTTGGGGGTCATCATGCGACAATTATTTTTGCGGCGGGCGCCTCTTCAAGGGCACAAAGCAGCTATTTGAGCCCACAAGCTGGCCAACTGATGGCGGGCCCAGGCGGGTGCCGCCGGCCCGGCTGAAACCGGCAGCGCAGAGAAGGCAGGACGTGCGTTTCGGTTGCAGTCCTGTGGGGGATCGATCGTCGCGGCAGGGGTCAATCAACATTGGGGAAGGACGCACTTTGGCAACACTATGCAGGAAGAACCAAACGGAGATCCAGCGCGGTATGCTTGTTTTGGGATCATCTTTGGTTTGGCTTGGTTAGCGCTTTGCAAGGGTTGGGGCAGAAGTTGGGTTCTGGGCTTCAATGCAGAAAAATTTGGAACCACTGATTGGTTTCTCTTTGGTGACCCTGGCAGCAACACCCAAAAAAGCATCCGCAAAAGCAGCGCGAACGGGGATGACCTTTTGAACAATGAGGACTGCGCCCGAACTGCCCTTGACCCACTGCTGCTGGCCATGAAACCGATGAGCGCACTTGGACAGGCTCATTTTCAGAGGTGCGCCCCCTTTGAGCGAGGCACCCGGCGCCCAGTAAGGAAGCTCTGCTCCCGCAGGCGCGAAATCGGCCGAAGGAGATCTACCAGGGGTGGGCGGTGTGTTTTGAAGAGGAACCTTCAAGAAGGGCTCCTCAGAAAAGGTACGGTTTGTAGTACGTAGCTTCTATTGAGGCAGGACTTTGATGATTAGGTAACGTTGTCTGATCCATTTCGGCAGTTTCAGAGCAACA